AATGTGTGTGTATGATTTCAAAATGGTACAGGAGGAAAAACGAGACTGGCAAAAAGGAGAGCCTTCCAGAGATCCTTTGTGGTGCACATTGTGAATGATGTTTGAATAATTGATATATTTACACTGATTACCTAGAAATCAACCCCTCTATAAAATGACACAAAAAACTAACAGGGCAAGATCATGTTAGGTGCCAAGTACTTTGTCCACTCTCCAAAAACACGCTATTTACGCTTAGATGCTCAGTAAATCTGGGCTTCAAAGCTTGACTGCTGCAAATAATAGATTTGCAAAGCCACAGATTCAAATCTTAAAGTTCCTTCAGAGGGAACTTGGAGCAAAATTTAAAAAAAAAAGCCAAGCTAATTCTGAAATTCCATAAATTTTCCTGAAAACTAATGGTATCACCTCTCTGAAAATACATAGGAAGCATAAGTATCTTCTACTTTTTAAATCAATGGTTTGTGTGTGTGGGTGTGTGCAGTGGAGCTTTTTGTGTGTGCCTGAACAGCTCGGAAGGATCAAGTAAATAAAAGGAAAAACAGACTAATGCATCTTTAGTTCCCAGTATGTCCCTAGGTTCCACTGTGACCACCCTAGTTTACAAAGTATTAGATTTGAGAGAATGAAAGACAAAAAGAGGAGAAGTCAGGACAGTAATAATGGAAAAGAGTAAGTCTTTATGCTGACCGAGAAGGGAGATTTTAATGAAATACTAAAAGACATGAAAGCACAGCTGCCTTTCAAATGTCTTCTCCCAGGCTGCATCTTTACCATATAATAACCATGTGATATTGGTTGATAGTGATAGAAAATTTCTAGCAGGTTATAGAAAGTTGCAAAAAAAAATTTGCAAAATAAATAAAAAGGAAATAAGTACTTTGCTTTTTTAAGATAGGAAGAACTATGGAAAAAAAGTGCAGCAAAGTCTAGAAAAAGAATGTTCTGAGAAGTAGGACTGACAATGAGTTTTTGACTGACTGCCCAGCTCTGTGACTGTCTTCCCTGTTGCTTGGCAACTCCATGTTATCACAAAGAAACTGATATTAAGTTGGAACAAGCTGGATATGGTAATTTACGTGGGAAGATACTCTTGCAGTGGGAAAACCATTTTATTTCTAGCTTCTGTCAGCGTAAGTAGGTTTCACATGACAAACTGTAGTACATCCCCTGTCGGGTGCATTTTACCTAAAAAGGTAAAGAGCAGCTCTGCCTTGGAAGCGGACTGTGCAGAAGAAAAAAAGAAAAAAAAGGAAAGGAAAGAAAAAAAAAAGGACCAAAAAAACACCTAATGTTATTCATTAGACCTACTACTAAGTGTAGACCTAATACAAAGTAATGAGATAGAACTTAATCATTATTTTTATACTATGAAAGTACCCAAGAGCTTTAGACTTTTGCCTAAGACCTCACTGTCCTACAAAAGCCTGAAGTGGGGATCTAAATCGTCCCTCTTCTTCTTCTGTATTAGCAATAGTTCTGTGCTAAGTTTCAATTGCATGTTGTTTCCTTCCTGCTGGAAGCAGAAGCTGTAAACCTAACAGTTACAGCCTAATTTGAAGACCATCATAGCATGAATCAACTTTGAATTTGGCTGGTACTGTATGGGTGGGAAAAGACTGAATTTTTACTCAAAAGAGAATACTAAGGAGGTGAAATATACCAAATTTTATCTGGAAAGCTTTGATGCATGCATGACATGTATAATGGTGTTTTATATTTGGGGTTAGTTCTCAGATTTAATTGGAAAACATGAAAGTTCACAGGAGACTCAGGTTTTAATGCAAATTCTTGTTTTTAAATTTTTGATTTACTCACAGTTCTTCTGATCCCCTAAGGATCAGGTCTCTCTGTGTTTCCACCAAGCAGTGTTTTTAGTAATTTAGCACCAACCGCAGTTCTACAAGAAGGGAAGTACTTCACACGTCTTCAGGAGTCCCTGTTCTGGCTTTGGTCAGCAAAACTCTCCCTGTCTCCAGGCTTCTCTTTACTGCAGAGTTAACTTTAAATATTACTCAACTTTTGCCCTTGGCTCAAATCCCAACCATACACAAAAACTTCTGCCTGTTGGTCTGTTGATGCTGTTAAGCTGAAGTGATTGGCCTGGGCTGTCAGAAGGCATCGGCAGCAGTTTGAATTAGCACGGCTAATATAGCTACATGACACTGCTCCAAGAACTTGTCTTTATTGCCAAAAAAGGTGTAGTTTTACCATGGAATAATTGGTCTGAATTAGCTAGCCTTTCTTTCTTTCTTTTTTTTTTTCTTTCAAAAGGGACACCTTAGTTTCTTTTCTTTCATCGAAGACATTACTTTTCTGTTCAGAGTCACCCCTTTTGCGGAGGCAATGAAAACAGCCCTCTTTTCAGCCAACCATATATGTTTTTTGTATTAGTTAGTCCCATATACTCCAATAATTTACTGGACTGACTCCAGCAGCAAGCCTGGCTTAATTAACATACTGCATTTCCCAAAAAGGTAATGACCAATTCTGTTGAGTGCAATTTAAACAACTTTATAGCAGATGGAGCTTCCACTTCCCTTTAGGCTGAGTCCCACTGCTATATAGTGAAGAGCACTTCTACATCCACTTATCGTTAGTTGCTAGTCCTAATTTTACCAACCTTTAATCTTTGTCTTTCAGGCTATCATGCCACCCATCTGTTTCTGAAGTCCTGGTACTAGGGCAAAACAAAATTTTCAGGCAGTTTTTCATGCATTACGTTCATCACATTTGCTCATGCTTGCTTTGGAATGTTTTCTATGCCAAGTAGTAGCATCTTCTGCCTCGTGGGCCCTGCTGGACTGGGGGCACCAAAGCTGTAGCACCTCCTGTACCTCCTCCTGTAGTGTGGCAACAAAAATACCTCTATATCTTGCATCATCTGGGATTGGGCATTTTCTTTAGACTATTCCTTAAATAGTTCAGTCACTTCAACTTTAATTTAAAAAGGAAAAGATACTTCTTGCTGCAACCATGTTTTCTGTATAAAATGCATGTACAGAAAAATCCTCCACACTGGTGAGGAGAAATTGTTGATACATTTTTTCATTTTTGAGATCTGATGAGCACAGAATAAATATGGGTGTGAATACTGGACAGGCAGGGAGTAACCAGAAGGCTGTGCTCTGCATCTTCCAGATGATGGAGGGAGGGAGCACAGCCCCAGGGAGGGATGCTGGGAACGCTGGAGGTGCACACCAAGGCACGAGTTTTTCCTCCTGTGGCTGAGTGTCATTCTCCAAGAGCACTGTTGTGAGATGAGAAGGGTCTTCAAGTTGTTGTGAGCAGTTCTCACCTTGCTCACCGTGCCCATTAACATCTTGCACTGGTTCTTCCAGTTTCTGCCCTCGGGTTACCCTATTTGTCCCACGCTTCCCTTTGCCGTCCATGCCCCTAAATCCTGTAGCTCCTGCGCCAGTGTCCAGGGGGTAGGGCTCCTTGCAGCTGGCTGAACATACTTTTCTAGAGATGAGTGTGTTGCATGCACAGCCATATAGTTCTTCAATTTTCCTCTCTTGTAGAGGTTACAGTACATGCTTTTGCTCACTTATAAAGTCAGTAATTAGCAACAGTCTGCGTGAACTATACAACTAGACTGAGCAAGTGGGTTATACAGTGAAAATATACAAGTGAAAGCAGATGGTTCTTGGATTTCCTCTCCCTGGAAAACCTTAAAGGTAGTTACATTTTCAGAGACTCTTCGAAAGAAGGTAGGAGTAAGAAGTAAATGTTAGACATCATTTTGTTTCCAGCACTAGCCTCATGTATGACTGGATGACTCGGGTGGGACACAGAGCTTGTCACTACTGAAATCTTTATTTCATATCTGTCACAGCCTTGTAACGACTGTAGGACACTGTTGCTCAAAAATGACACTGACTTCAAAGGCAGCCTTGTTGGTTTATATTAATGTTATGAAGTTGCATCTCCCAAGTGTTTCAGCTTATGGTTTCTTGTTGGCTCGTTGAATTGCAAGGGTTGCTAGAGAAATCAATCCAAATACAGATTTTAAACAGGGTAGAAATAATGAGAGTAATTACATTTTACTTTTATTTGTGGTAGAGTGATTTTAACTCTAAAAATACAGCTGCTCTCCTTCTTTCCAGTACCAGTCCTGATAAGGGGAATTACAGGTTGCAGATGCATTTGCTTCAGGATATGAAAGAAAGCCTGACGCTGCAGGCAAAGGGACACATATGCTAAGCCAAAGTGCAGATGTGATTATATGTGCTGAGGATGCAAAAATAATATACATGTTGGAGAGCCAACAGACATAGGATTGTGAAGACACAGAATAAATCTGAATTTTGGAGGCTAGAAACAGTGTGGATGAGTAGATTAACCTGAAAGTGCTGTATACGTGTCATGCTGTGGCACACCTTGAGGTGTATGTGGAACACCAGCAAGTTGAAAGACAAAAGAGGAGACAATAGTTCTAAATGTTAGAAAATATCACAAAAAAATCCTACCCCAAAAATTTTAATCTGACTTGATTTCCTTGAATTTTGGTGGATATAGCCGTACAGAAATTATTCTACCTACTACTTGCAGATGGTAGATTTCTTTACTTTAAAAATAAAGTAACAGCTTCATCTTGAGAATCTAGGTTTTAAAAAAAAAGATTCTTTTTATAGAATGTCTTTATTTTTGACAACTGTGCAGTAACTATTGAATTCCATGTATAAGCACATTTTAAAAGCATAAACCAGACTTCTATTTTAGAGATAGGCAGATCCTCCAAATGTGACATTCTCAGAAGAAGGAAAAATAATGATAATTAACAATGATTGTTTAATTCCAACGTTTGAATTGGCGGAGAGCTCACCTTTGAATTCAAAAATGTAGTTCCTTGTTTGGCAGCTTTTTTTAACTTTTAAATTCAAAGATGTGAAAACCTTAAGTTTTTCATCCTTTTGTGATGTTGAGGCTGGAACATATCTGCAAGAGCACAACACAATTGTACTTGTAAATAGAACCATTTCTTTTTCATATTGCAGAGCACAGATAACTCAAATGTATCTATAATTGCTCGGAACAAGAAGTGCTTTGACAACAATATTGTTTGCTCCAAGAGTGTTTTCATCACTGTCAGAGACACTGAGATTTATTTTAGCGAACCTTCTGAAAAGCAGGTTAGTTGCTTTCTTTCCTATTTGGAATGCTCTTTAAGATAAGTGTTTCAAAGTTGCAATTCTAAGGAGAATATTTTTGGAAAACATTTCAGCGTGAGTTAGCACAGTACGAGTACTTAGGCCTAGATAAAACTACAACTCCCAGGAAAAAAATCTTTTTTTTTTTTTCTAATTCTACAAAGAAGCCTGATCAAAAGTCTCAAGGAGTCAAAGCATATTGACATTTATTTGTTTCTCTCCATCTCTCCACTTGGTTTCGAAAGGGAAGGCAAAGTGCAATCAAAACAAACTTTAAATGATCCAAAAGACAAAAAACAAAACAGCATCGCTTGTAAAACTTTTGATTCAGTTGTATGCTAAAGATAAAGTGCAAAATATCTTAACATTACTAACGGATTGCATACTGTGGTTGCAGAATTGCTGTATTAGATAAATATCTGTAATAAATATCCCTTTCTGTCAGAAGATCTTAAGGGGACAGGAAAGCAAATCCAACTATCAACTTTGGAAGGCTGGATATTATACCGTGATACACTTTCCAGAAGAGGATATTACGATTCTGTGGGATAAGAAGACAACCATACATGTTAAAGTTGGACCTCGATGGAAGGTGAGCCAGAATAAAAAGCCAAGATTTCGTCTAGTTCTCAGTGTTACCAAGATACTCTCCTATGGAATAAGTGCAATAATCTTTGTTTCATAACTGACATTCCTAGCAATATAGTTGTTTTATCATGCTGTTCACCTGTATGCACCCAAGTAAGAGAAGAACACACTGAGGATGTGATTTCATGGCTGGACCCCTGAAGAGAAAGAGTGGCCCCTACGTGCTTGTTAACCCTCCTCTGAGCACTACAACTTTGTTAGATATTTGTGATATGACTCTAACTCAAAGAAAATTCAGGAGGAGCAAGAAGTGCGTGTCTGTGTAAATTAGTTTCCCTTATCCACATATTTACTATGAATCCATGAATCCAGCATGGATTCATAATTGCTAGGACCAGCAAAATTAAGAAGAAGGAAATCAACAGCTGGCAATATGAAAAAGGGCACATACGTAGCATAATCTCTTATTGGATTTGGCTGATTGTGGAACTGCACCCTGAAATGTAGTAGAGGCTACTGAGATGAATTGATAGCGATATATTTTGGGTTTAAGGTAAGAAAACAAGATACAGAAAACAATCTAGACAATAACTGACTTCTAAAACACAGAACTGTATTGTGAGAGGTTTAGGACCATGCAAGGACTAATATGGAGCTCCTTCTTCCAGTTGCTTGTCTCTAACCTCTCCCTCCATCATCTGTCTTCACAACTCTGCAACTCAATCTTTGAGTCCTGGTAGAATACTCTTATGTGCATATTTGATAGCATCTCTGTTGTGTCTCAACCATGAATGTACATATTGAGAAAGGGCTCCTTCTGGTGAAGAAAATCATTCTAGACAGCAGAATGTCAACTTTTTTGAAGCATGCGTCAAAGCTGCAATATAACAATCACCTTTTCTGTGTGTGTGCATGCATGCATGCATGTATGTATATTTTTCATTAGCAGCACATGCCCAAATATAAGAATGTTGCAGGTGGCTCTCTGATAACTGCTGTGATGAAAGCTCTTGCTATTGTAATCTAAACTTAAGGGGAACGGGTCTCAGTGACAAGAACTAGTCAGGCTTCACAGAGATAATTCACTTGAACTTTTCACTTTTGTATTAGATACATCACTAAGCTTTTAGAAAAAAAAAGAAAAAAAAACAGTTATTTGCAATATGGCACTATAAGAACAGTAGGATATCAGATATTTTCAAAGTATGAGTCAGAGTTGCACTTACCTGTTTTGTTTATGAATGTTTTGCGTAACATTTATAGCACATGAAGATTATTGACCACCAGTTTATGTTAACAATCATTCTTTGGTTTTAGGGTAAACTGGCAGGTTTGTGTGGAAATTTTGACAAATACACTTCAAATGATTTGACTACATCAAACAACATGGAGGTGAGAAATGCACAGGTGTTTGGAGACAGCTGGGTGTTAGGACAGGTAAGTCTCATGTATAATTAAAAAAATCATAATAAGTGTTATTCATAAATGAACATTTTTTTAGCACATAAAGAACAGGAATTTTCTAAATTGAGTGCCAGTCAGTATGTAGTAGGTCATTTGAATTTTCTTGTCTGTACATATCAGATGTAATAACTGCAAACATATAGCTGAATTTAAATGAAACCAACCCCTTTCCCATTTTCAGGGAAGAATTTATTTTTTCCGTGTACAAAATAATCATTATTTGTCTCTAGATTCAATTTTTCTCCAAATTTAGATATATTGTTTCTGGTATTTTTGATTATGTCCAATTAGAAAAAAAAGTAATTTCTCCTCTGGTATTTAAGGCATCTGGATATTGATAATGAAAACAAATTGAATCTGATTTCTGGAAGAACTGTCTTCCTCAAATCTCAGAACTTACCTGATTTCAAATGAATGCAATTCTCCATAGTGCAAGTCTAAAAATCTTCAAGGTATGGGAGATAAATTGAGACAGGGAAGTAATAAAGCTAAGATTCATTATCAATCAATTTTATATTCAGTTGTATTATGTAGCATATTAAAAAAAAAGACAAAACAGCAAGTGACAGAGGGGGTCATGAGACAGAAAAAGCTTCCAACACTGATGGGCACATCAGTGCAGAAACTGGATTTCTGAGTAGGAGAGAGGAGGCTGTAGAGAGCGAGTGACCACAACTATGTTTGGTAACACAGGAGTATGGGTATTTTATTAATTTCTGCTGGCAAAAGGTGAAACTCCTGATAAATCAGTACTTGTAGAATACTCCCTCAGGAAGATATCTGGAAACTTTGCCTTTAATCCATTCTCTCCCTGATTCAGGATAGGAAATTGAACCAAAACGTCATGCAAGAATATGATATTTACTGTGATTTGGGAGAATGTTTTGAGTTCCTGGATTATCTCCCTTAACATATCTTTTTGGATAAATTTTACTCCACATGAAATGTTTAAATTCTGTGAGCAATCAAGAGAAATATTTAGTGTGGTGATTATGCCACTCATCTGGAAGGTGGCACAGAAAATATAGATACTTTGTATGAATTGTAATAATATCACCCAAGAGACCAAGAGTGATATATTCCTGAATGCTCTGTAGTCTGGTGGTTGTGATTCCTTCCTGCAAAGTCTAGGCGTAGATTCAAAGGAAGGAAGGGACTGTGCTCTCCCACCTCCTGGGTGAGTACCTGAACTGTTTTCTGCTGAGCAAGTGGAAGCTTGCGTTAGTGGTATTTTATGAAGGGTGCCCAAGTCTTACTCTACAATTTGTTTCCTTTCTAGAAGAAATATTTGAAGAAGCAAATATGACAGGGATGTTGCCTTCCTTCATGAAAATGAGAAACATTTCAGTATAGGTTTCAATCCACTAATACATTTCTTGAGTTTATCTGTTCAGTATCTGATGTAAAAAAAATGGCATCGTGTTTGCACAGTTTGAATCCTAATATTAACTCCCAGGATTTTATGACCTCTGATTAAGCAGCCCAAACTTGCACTTGCATTTTGTAAACATATATTTTTATAAAATATCACATAATCCTCTGATCTCTGTGGCTTCCAGAGCAATCCTGAGAGTATTCTGGCTGCAGTAGGCAAGCCACACTCAGCCAGGTTTGCTGTATATATACTTTAAAGGAATATGTGCTAGCTTAAAGGAATATGTGGACTAACTACACTACTGAAAAACGTGCTCGTGTGGGCACTGTTAGGTATGGGATGTTTCCATGGTTTCTCCTCTGGACATAGCAGCACATTCCCCAGGGGTGCTGTCAGAGCCCCCATAGAGGAACGTACTGTAGATGAAGGGCTGTCCTCGAGCAGAGGCTGCACCGGGACACGCTGCCTCCTGATCCATCATTGCTGCCTTCTGGGCTTCTCCTCTAGGCTGAGGCTGTGGTGTGGGATGAACTTGCCTTTTGCAATCTGAGTGTCATTTTATTATACGTTTTTGTTCACTTGTTTTTCTTCTTGAAAACAGACTTCAAGAGAGGGAGTTGCATCTCAGCCATTTCTGAGTTATCACTGTAATCTTGGACTCTGTTTTTTATGAGTGAGTTCGTTCCTACTGCTGCTGCTTTATTTGAACTCACAGGGCTGAAGTCGTCTCTAGTGTGACTCCATTTAAAGTCAGTGCAAAACCACCAGGGACGGATTTGGCCATATGTTTGTTTGTGATGTTACACTTGGTTGCTCTGGTAATGATTAGGATATGTCACAAAGAAAACATTTTGTCTGCATGCGCTGAGCAGACAGCAGGAACACTGGAGTACTTAAGAACAAAACACACTGATTCTTTTTCTTGTTTTGCAAATGTTTTTAATTAAAACAACAAATCAGGCAAAGAGGGTGCAGATAAAGAAGATAGCATCTAAACATAATTGTTTTCTGAATACATGTATTGAATTCTGTTGTATGCATAGTGTACCTGAGTCCAGTGTCAACCGCTTTAAAATGTTTGTGGGGTTTTCATTTGTTTGGTTTTTTTAAGTGCAAGAGCCCAAATGAAACACTAAGACCGTGTGAGGTGCATCAGAGCAAGTTCCCTTATGCCAAAAAGGAATGTTCAATTTTATACAGTGATGTTTTTGCACCTTGTCGCAATGTGGTAAGTTTATTAAACATCCAAGATTTGTTGTCATGTAGGAGAATGTTAAAGATCCAGTGATTAATTTCTTCTTGCTGTTCCCTCAGTGGGAATATGAAGGAGGATACCAAGGGCAGCCCTGCGAGTATCTCTGTGTGGGTGGGCTATGTTTGTACAGAGCTCCTTGTTCCCTTCAAGACTGCAGGCCAAACACTATAGTGATAACTGGGAGCCATGAGTTACTGGAGTGGATAACCAAGGTTCTGTTCTCTTTAGGTTTCTTTTATTTGTATCTTCTATTTACACAGGTTATTAAATTTTTGTGGCTTTTGTACGTATTGTGAAATTCTAAACTAAACATTTGTATGAAATGCCTACAGCTTATCTCATGTGGCTTTATTTTGTTAACTATTCTGCTCAATATAGAAAGACATATGAGAGAGTGTGATTTGGATGTAAGAGCTATCAGTATTTTTAATTGGCTGGCAGCTTATCATTTCTGTTTATCAAAAAAACTCTGAGGCACGGTGTCCTTGTTTCCCCTATAATCCGCTGAGCTTGGACCTGAATTACAGGAATGTTTTTAAGATCAATCTATACAAGATGGGGATGATACTAGCTTGTGTACTAATCTTTTCTTCCATTTTTGGGTACCCTTTATCAAAGCAAGACATTTTGCTTATTTCTGATTTTACCCTCCCAAAGGAATTTAGTTATCAACAGTGTTTTTTTTTTTTTTTTTTTTAACACTTTTGCAAGCAAGAACTGCTGTGACTCTTCACTCAATCCTTTTCTTTCTGATTGTGAATATGAAGGAGATCATTAGATGTCCCCGCTGAACCTCCTGACTTTCAGGACTGAAGTTTGATATCAATATGGTTAGGAATTTGCCTGGAGAGGAGGGTGTAGTAGTTTAACCCAGGAGATTTATTAATGTCAACTTTAGTTAGTATGTCAAGAATTTTTTGAGTGTGTGCCTGAGAACATAATGATGAGTGTATTTTCAAAGTGGAAAGCAATAAATAAAAACTTTTGAGAGTTTTTAAAGAGCCATATTATACCAATGTATGAAGATTTATTTCTCTTGAACTTTCATTTCCCTTATCTTGCCTCTTTTATGATTAAAATTTTTGAACATTATGCCAAGGATTTAGCATAATTGTTAAGAAATTCATGTCAGGTGCAAAACATGATGTTCAGTTAGCAAGCAGGTGCATATCCATCTTGTCTGGAACAGTCTGCAAAGCAAATACTTCCAGGTGTTTTTACAACCTATTCAGCAGTATGTAAAAATGTGGCCCTTACGAATGCAGCATGAAGTGAGCTGATCTCAAGGAGATCCATTTCGCTACTGGCTGCATAGGCAAGAAAGCAGATGTCAGGGGAAAAAGTCCAAGCAGAGATGGGCAATTGGGCACGGGAAGACCAAGAGCCTGGCTCGTGGTAGGCACTTGGAGCAGCACTCTTGAGGTCTGACTTGCTCTGCAGATGGCTGCGATGCCACTGAGCAAGCTCCTGTGCCCACCCCAGTCCTAGCTCCACCTTAATAAGAATGAAGAAAGGAAAAGTAAGCAAGCAAAATGGCATCTCTCCCTACTTCAAGCACAAAACACAGAAAAAAAACCATTTTGTTATCCCTACCAGCTTCCAGCAGCTGCCAGCTGAGGAGCTTTCTTGGTGCTTGTGAGATGCTGCTTTGCGACTGCCACGTTAGTTCATAGGTCCGATGTGCCACTCGAGTCTTCTAAAGCGAAACTAAATTAGAATCAAAATTGATTTAAAATTGAAGAATAACAGTGTTAAAACAGTACCCTTTTTCAGTAAGAACATGCTTTTGAAATTATTGATCGACATTACAGAAAATATGTTTAAAAATAAAAAGTTTCTGTTTCCTACCATTTTTGATTTTTGATAGGACTTAAAAATTAGAAGGTGGATTTCTGAGCTGCTATGGAGGAAAGAGTATTAAAATCTTAAAAAAATGCGAGATGTCACCAGACATGACCAAAATAACCATTACAAATATATCCATATTTGAAGTAAAATAAAATACTTGCCCCACTGCAGCTCTGTTTTATTGTTATTCGTGCAAAACTAACAGGATGACTCTAGGTGGCAGTAATTGCTTCATAAAAACAGAATTACCATCTTCAGTAAACTTCAGAACCAATAAATAGCAATTTTGTTGGTGGTCATATTTATTAACACCCGATTAAAATGTTGTAATATAAGTATATAAAAAACTGATCACTACAAGTGTACCTTTCGTAAGGAATATATACGAGCCTTAGAAAATGTGGTATATTTG